GGAAGTGATCACAAGATATGAGGCCTGAAGCGGCCTTGAGCACCTGGCAGCTGCTAAGCAAATCCTGGCTGTAGGAGGTCCCACTGCTCTGGGTGGGTCCAAGCCCCCATGTTTAAAATGCCAGAAGAGTTTCTGACTGGTTGTGCTTGAAAGAACAGATGTCAAACTTTTGGATTTACAAAAACCATCCTTTTCCTAGATGGTTTTTCCTTCCACATTACCAGCATCCACTAAAGGTTACTTCTGCTCCTGCTTCAGAGGCACCTGGCTAACCTCACTTGATGTGTTTCCTTTCACTACAACAGAATTAAAGGTGGGTGACTTTAACACGCCCTGGCTGAGGCAGTGCGATGGAATGGAAAATGCCTGGGGGAGCCATGTCTTTCCTGTGGTGAGTGGGTGGGCAGTCAGTTCCTCTCCATAGAAGACAAGGGCTAGGCTAACTCAGCGATTTCAGTTGTGGATCCCTTTATTCAAACAGAATCCAACAGGAAAGCCCAAAGTAAAAAAAAAAATGTGTGTTTCTATCATACATAAACCTTGCAAGGCCTATCTTTATCATCTCTCAGTCCTTCAACAAAAGTAGGTAGCACTAGTGGCCCTGTCTTAGAAAATCTGAAGCATAACTCTCTCTACTTAAGGCAGTTTAAAAACTGGTAGACCAGATATCTGTAAGGTAGTAAAGTAACTTTCTATTTTGTTGACCAAGTCACATTAGAATACATTTTACGTCGCAACGCAGAACACGCACACACACATGCATGCAGACGCACACATTTCATGAAATAATACCTCACCTGCTTTATGTGATTAACACTCAAATTTACCATTTCATTTTTTTCTTTTAATGCCGGTTGCGACTCATTAAATTTTACAATTCCCTACTGGGTCTCGACCTGCAGTCTCTAAAACACTTCCTTAAGGTAGCTTCTAGCTGAAGAGTTTAGGAATGCCCCATCTGGTGGAAAGTACCCACAGCTCTGCATGTATGGCGCCACTCTTGCGAATCAGCACATAGAGTCCTGCTCCTCACACACCTAAAATAAAAGGGCATCTTGGCCAAAAAAAAAAACCAAAAAACCAAAAAACCAAAAAAAAAACCACCCTCATGATATGAAAGCTTGCTGACTTGCTACAGATGGACAAATATGGAAGTTTTTTGCCGAGACCTTCGGAAAAATCTGTATTTCAGATCCAATCAATTCATCTTTCCTTTGAAAACAGATTTGTGTGGAAGATCAATTAGAAGCACAGCAAGAGAGTTCCTGAGTTAAAAGGCAATCAATGTTTGGTATAGGCTAAGATGGGTCTTTCCAGTGAAAAATACCACAAATAAGCTTTCAAAAGGCAAAATATACTTATGGACTCTTGGAGCTCATCTTTCAGGATGGAGCAGAGCTGAAATCTCAAAATATAAACGCCATGCAATTTTCAAGTGCTAAACTTGGATATCAAGGTATTAAGCTACGTCCTAAACCCCAAGGCTCTTCTAATAGCCAAACACATTTGGGCAGTGTTTCTGTATCATCTTATGTGATTGTTATAATATCAGATCTGTTTATTGAGAAAAAATATTGGGTTATCAATGGTAGGATGAGTAGTATTAACTAGACCTTCAGCTCTGTTACCTTAAGCCACACTCTCCCTGAGTTTCCTGATCATCTTTATAAAATGGAAACAAATTTTTGCTTGGCCAGTATCCCAGCCCCAATCTCTAAAATGGGTTATGACTACAAAGCACTTTACAAACGCATTATTAGCTCTACTCTACAAAGACTCTGAGAGCCACAAACCTAAACCTACAGACACAATTTCAGAAATATTCTCGTGTAGCTACAAATCAGCTTAAAATAGCATTGTGGTATATCAGCACATAAAAAGATGCTCAACATCCTTAGCTGTTAGGGAAATGCAAACCAAACCACTATGAAATACTGTCACACCCAGTAGGATGGTTATAATCAAAATGACACATTGCTGGTGAGAATGATGGAGTAGCTGCTGTAAGGAAAAGACAAGTTACCATATGACCCAGCAATTCCACTCCTAGGTTATGTACCTGAGAAAACATGTCCGCACAAACTTGTATGCAAATGTTCATAGCTGCTTTACTCCTAACAGCCAGAAAGTGGAAGCCGGTCAAATGTCAACTGATGAATGGATAAACAAAATGTGATATACCTATACAAGGGAATACTATGTAGCAAAGAAAAGTCGAGTTACCATATGACCCAGCAATTCCACTCCTAGGTTATGTACCTGAGAAAACATGTCCGCACAAACTTGTATGCAAATGTTCATAGCTGCTTTACTCCTAACAGCCAGAAAGTGGAAGCCGGTCAAATGTCAACTGATGAATGGATAAACAAAATGTGATATACCTATACAAGGGAATACTATGTAGCAATAAAAAGAAATGAAGTACCATGGTTGAACCTCAAACACATTACTCTTGAGAACGCTGGTAGTGATGATGGTTCATAACCTTGTGAATACACTAAATACCACTGAGTTGCACTTTTAAAACCGAATTTTATGGTGTTATATCTAAAAAAAAAAAAGGAAGAAAAACTGCATTGAATAGAAATTGACCTTTTTAGACATCTAATCTAAAATTTGCCATAATTACTAGAATACATGGCATGGTACTAAGAAAATCAAACCTCTGTGCTATCATTGTTTTATATGTATTAACACATTTAAATCTTCAAAAAAAACTCTGAGGTAGATTCCATCATTTCCTATAGAGGAAATGACACCACTTAGAGGTCAAGTAACTTGACCAAGGTTACACAATAGAAAGCTGCGGCAGAAATCCTGGGCTACTAAACTATGCTCTGTCCCCTCCAAATTGTTTGCATGTTTACATCTCCAATACACAAATACTCCTTGAGGGCAGCAATCATCACATCTTTTCATTTTCTTTTACCTCAAACCCTGGTAGCACCTGGCAAGTTGTAGAAGCAATGACAATCAATCACTTATGTATTCGCCCATTCATCAAAAAGTTCTGCTTACACTGTGTACCAGGCACTAAAGACAGTCCAGAACAAGACAATGTTCCTAGGAACCAAAAAGATCATCTCATGTAGTAATAATTTCTATCCAATAAAATGAAGGAGTTAGGAAAGTCTGAGGAAAACCAAGAAAATAGCAGATTAGGAGGTGGCACCTCCCAGGAAGAGGAAACAGAAGAAACCAAGGCCCTGAGAGGAATCAGTTCTGATGGGTTAAAGGAAGAGCAAGGTGGCTGCTATGGCTTGAGCAGATTGAGAAAAGATGAAGTTGCCAAAGCAGCTTCATCCCAATGCTACTGGGTCTTGCAAGCCATAGTAAGAAATTTAGATTTTACTGAGGCAGAAAGCAATCCAAGGGTTTTGAGCAATACTATGATCTGACTCAGGCTGTTGAGAGTGGAGTGGCTTGTGTGTGTGTTGGAGGGTGGACAATACTGCCGTCAGTACTGACTCAATTTTGAGTACATGAGAGTGACAGGTACTGAAATGAGACAAGGTTAAAATCAGAAGATGGTACTAAGAATACCCTATCTTGGACATGTTCAATTCGGTACGCATTTCAGACGTCCGAATGTAGTAATCGAGTAGGTAGCTGGCTAGAGGCCTAGGTCAGGGATAAGTTTAGACTGGAAAGAAATCTGACACATCAAAAAGATGCCATTTAAAGTCAAGGGACTGGAGAGTAAATGTAGGG